CATGTGCCAACTACAAAACAAACAAACCAACAAAAACACTACTACCTTGCAGGGGTGTTGTAAAGATTAAATGACACTGGCCGGGTGCGATGGCTCACACCTATAATGCCAGCACTTTGGGAGGCCGAGGTGGGTAGATCACCTGAGGTCAAAACTAAATAAAAGTAAAAATAAATGACACATTTAATCAAAGTGCTTGGAAGGAACACAGAAAGTGCTATTATTACTTGAAGTCATAGTATATTTTATAACTATTCAAGAAATCGAGTAGTCCATACTAATTTCTGGTTTTTGTTTTTTGTTTTTTGTTTTTTTCTTGAGACAGAGTCTTGGTCTGACACCCAGGCTGGAGGGCAGTGGCTCAGTCTCCACTCACTGCAACCTTTGCCTCCCAGGCTCAGGCGATTCTCCTGCCTCAGCCTCCCAAGCAGCTGGGACTACAGGCTCGCACCACCACGCCTGGCTGATTTTTGTATTTTTAGTAGACAGGGTTTCACCATATTAGTCAGGCTGGTCTTGAACTGCTGACCTCGTGATCCACCCACCCTGGACTCCCAAAGTGCTAGGATTACAGGCGTGTAATCTCGGCCCATAATTTTTGGATTTTAAACTTTTTTTTGTTTTTTGAGAGAAAGTCTCACTCTGTCACCCAGGCTGGAGTACAGTGGCACAATCTTGGCTCTCTGCAAACTCTGCCTCCCAAGTTCAAGTGATTCTCCTGCCTCAGCCTCCTGAATAGCTGGGATAACGGGCACCCACCACAACACCTAGCTAATTTTTGTATTTTTAGTAGAGATGGGGTTTTACCACGTTAGCCAGGCTGATCGGGAACTCCTGACCTCAGGTGAGCCGCCCACCTAGGCCTTCCAAAGTGCTGAGATTACAGTGTGAGCCACCGTGCTCAGCCTGGTTTTTAAACTTTTATAACTAAAATCTTTCTAAACAGTATTAGCATTTTTATGTCTGGGTATGATAGTAAACAGACTATTGTACCTTTCATCTTTTGTATTTTTAATATGAAGAGAAAGTAGCATTTCTGAGCATTTCCTGTGAAAGATCCTACGTAAGCTACTGAAAGGTGAGTCAGGCTCACCCATAAGCGGCTTATCATCTAGCATAAGCCAGTGTGATGCATGCCATAAGGATTTCACATGCATTACCATTACAAGCTATGACAGAGATAAAAACTGCCCACAGGGCTGTCTATAGAGTGAGAAGCTAGGCACACATTCCAAAACATGCTTTTCTTCAATAGATTCCAAATATGAGCTCATGCAATTGTTGTTCAACTGTTCTAAAAGGTGATACAGTAAGTCCTCAATGTCCAATAACTTCTTGGAAACTGTAAGCAAAATGACATACTCGAGTATCAACATTTGTTCCACATCATTTCATTTTAACATTGATGAAAAAACATGAAAAATTTGGTTTTGTTTATGTCATTTCGCTTAAAGTCATAGTGTCCAAGGAGAATGGGCTGGTGTGGAAAAACCCACGTCAGAAGTGTCATGAGTCTCTCGAAAGGCAGTTTTTCTTCTTTTGAAAGGTTTTACTCTTGTTTTATATTCCCAGGTCACCTGAAAGGCCATGTCTCTATCTGAAAACTCATCAGGCAACAGCACGATCGCAGGCGCCATTTCTACCAATCAAACATGCCCCTAGTACCAGCTAATTGGCACATCTGGGATCACCCAATTAGCAAGACGGTGAACACTGACCAGACTCCGAAAGTGAACACGGACTGCTTCTGTATGCCACTCCACAGCCGTCAGAGAGCTCAGACTGTCTCACCGATTCTCGGCGGCTGGCACTGTCTTCTTAGGAAAACGTGAGAATTGGCGGAGCGCGCTGGCACAAGCCTGTAATCTCAGCACTTTGGGAGGCCGAGGCAGGCAGATCACTTAAGGTCAGATGAGCCTGGACAACAAACTGAAACCCCATCTCTCCTAAAAATCCAAAAATCAGCAGGGCATGGTGGCGTACCCCTGTAATCCCAGCTACTCAGGAGGCTGAGGCATGAGAAATGCTTGAACCCAGGAGGCAGAGGTTGTAGTGAGCCAAGATCGTGCCCCTGCACTCCAGCCTGGACGACCGAGGGAGGCTCCGTCTCAAAAAAAAAAAAAAAGAAAGCATAATTTTCTAGTCCTTCCTACATTTTTTAAGAACTGCTACCCAAGATTTCTCTTTGCAGGATTCAGAAGCAATCACCCAAGTCAAGCTGTGACCACCCCAGGAAGGGAACAGCATTTATTCTACAACTTTATAAGGTGCGAGTCCATTGTCAGTGCTCAATGCAGATACAAAGCTGACCTCCTTTCACTATTATTTTCAAGACACAACCAGTTCTTCTTTTCATTCCTACTTCCTTTTTTATTTCCAATAAAGAAAAAAAGAAGGCTTTCAAATAAATCAAAATGGAAGTATCCATAAAAATGCACAAGCTACTTCACACAGGCATACACTTTTCATTGATTTCATCTCAAGCTCAAATCATTCATTTTAACTCAAAAACAACCTGACAAATGACCAACTAGCCAATTTTAGCATTATTAAATATGTGAGCCTTAAATTTGTTGAGAAATGCTCTTAAACATATATTGACTGGGGGCCATCATGGTAAGAAAAATCTTCCCCTTTTTTCTGGGCAATAATCACATGGAAAACCAAAGTGCCATTATGTTATCCACTTCATAAAAGGAAGGATTTATTTGGCCACCTTTTGGTTGTCAAACTGAATAATCATTACATAAAATAGGCTTCAAGTGTGACAGATTCCTTGTAGCCTAAAAACCTTTACTCTCATACAAAAATTAGCCAGGCATGGTGGCACGTGCCTGTGGTCCCAGCTACTCGGAAGGCTGAGGCAGAAGAATCACCTGAACCCAGGAGGCAGAGGTTGCGGTGAGCCGAGATTGCACCACTGCACTCCAGCCTTGAACAAAACAAAAATTCCATCTAAAAAAAAAAAAAAAAAAAAAAAGGAAAGAAAAAAGAAATGCCCCCTCACACCTGGATAGAGATGTCACAAAAAAAAAACTTTTCCAAGTCTCCAGTAAACTTTAGTGCTCTATAAACTTTTTTAACCACTAACCCTATTAGAGAAGAAAGTTTTATAATTGAAAGGGATTGAGATCAGCTACCTGATTTGTGAAACCCAGTGTGAAATGAAAATGGGGTTACTCTTGTTCTAATAAAACAATACGAAGGGGCCAGTCACAGTGGTTTGTGCCTATAATCCCAACACTTTGAAAGGCCAAGGCCAGGAGTTCAAGACTAGCCTGGGCAATATAGCGAGACCCAGTTTCTACAAAAAAAAAAAAAAATTATTTTTTGCCAAGTGTGGTGGTGTGCACCTGTAGTTTGCCAAGTGTGGTGGGGTGCGCCTGTCGTTTGTCAAGTGTGGTGGGGTGCACCTGTCATTTGTCAAGTATGGTGGGGTGCGCCTGTAGTTTGTCAAGTGTGGCTGTGTGCACCTGTAGTCCCAATTACACAGGAGGCTAAGTCAGGAGGATCACCTGAGCACAGGACTTTGAGGCTGCAGTGAGCTATGATCGCACAATCTCACTCTAGCCTGGGCAATGGAGCAACAACCTGCCTCTAAATTGTATATATATACATGCACACACACACCAAAAACTACTAAGGGTTTTAAGACGGAGAGAGCAGTGCATCAGATGAAGGATGGAGCCTTTTGCCCATGGGACCCTGGGCAGCCATGCAGGGTGAACGCCCATAAGGCTGGCCCCAGAAGGAATTGGTGTCCAGGCCCGCAGAGGTCACACTGGACTCCAGAGGAACACGGCCTCGCAGCCTGTGATGTGGCCTGTGAGCTCGGCTGCATGCCTGGGCGCCTTCTCTGGCACTAACCATGTGCAAAATCAGAATCTCAAACTAGAATGTTCAACAACTTGGCTCCTAATACCTTTGTATGTTAACCTAGTATGAGACAGAGTTTAAACTACTTCTGATTGTTATGAAATTGCCTGTGACAACATGAAAAGGTCATCTTGCATCTAAATCACAAGAGTCACAGACATTTCCAAACATACCCTAAATAGAAGCAATCAGCAACTTTGCATATCACACCAGACAATCTTTCTTAATAGACTGGGTGTTCGAGATTTTTAATTTTCCCATTTGCGATCTCCTGGTGTTTTCCAATTATTAAAAAAAGAAAGAAACCACTTAAAGTGCATTCCTATATGGTGGCTCCTTTATTACACAGCTTATTTATAATGACTTCTTAAAATTAACAAGCCCTGAAACAAAGTAAGTGTGGTCTAAAAAACTCCTGAATAACATTTATAATACACTGTAACAAGAAAGAAAAATCATTATTTTAGTGCAACAAGGACAACCACAAAAACAAAAAATCTTCAGTAATGAAAGAGCAACGAGCTTCAAGTCAAAGAATATCTCTTCTGCCCGGGCGCGGTGGCTCACGCCTGTAATCCCAGCACTTTGGGAGACCGAAGCAGGTGGATCACAAGGTCAGGAGATCGAGACCATCCTGGTCAACATGATGAAACCCCATCTCTACTAAAAACACAAAAATTAGATGGGCATGGTGGCACCTGCCTGTAAGCCCAGCTACTCAGGAGGCCGAGGCAGGAGAATCGCTTGAACCCGAGAGGCAGAGGTTGCACTGAGCTGAGATCGTGCCACTGCACTCCAGCCTGGCGACAGAGTGAGACTCCATCTCAAAAAAGACGAAAAAAAAAAAAAAAAAAAAGAAAGAATATCTGTTCTGTTCCCTCATCTGCATAAGTGACCAGGACAACATCCACTCATACAAGAGGAAAGGACAGAAATAGTCTACACGTTGTAGCCATTTGAAAAAATAAAGCAGACTTTGTCTGAATTTCTGGATATCTGACTGAATTTTCCATGACCTTTTGCCAATGGATACCTAAATTATAAAGATGGTATACTTTTTTTAAAAGTTCCAGAGAATACCACGTTTTGTTTGCCAGAAGCCTGGGAGGAACACTATGGTTTTTTTTGTTTGTTTTGTTTTATTTTGTTTGCCAACAGCCTGATTCAAAATCTCAGGGTTCTCTGGATGTTTCAAAAATTATCTTTTTCATTTGCCAGGAGAGAAATAGCCACACAATAACAAAATGAGTGGTTGACCTAGAAAAGTGGTCACTAAGCTCAGGAGCAGTGGCTCACGCCTGTAATTCCAGCACTTGGGAGGCCAAGGCGGGAGGATCACCTGAGGTCAGGAGTTTGTGACCAGCCCGGCCAACATTATGCAATCCCGTCTCTACT